TTGGGCTGACCTTTGGGCCTTTGTTCTTGGTCAAATTGAATTGTAATATCCAGTCTAGACATGACTATATTACCATAGTGAAAGAGATTGCCTTAGTAGAATATATCCCCTTTCATATGTTATATTTTAATTATCTTTACCCGTAGGACATTTGTCTGGTGTCATTGTACGATTCCTCGTTTTTATGCAGGGCTTGTGGGATCCAGCATCTAGAGAGAGCTGGGAAGAACTTGACCTTATTTGACTCGTTCTATTTCTGCATCGTTACTTTCTCCACCGTGGGCTACGGGGACGTCACGCCACAAATCTGGCCCTCCCAGCTGCTGGTGGTCATTCTCATCTGTGTTGCCCTGGTGGTGCTGCCGCTACAGGTACCGACTCTGTGCTAAATTAAAAACCAGCGATTTTCACTGCAAAGTGCAGTGAAGGGTTGCGGTTTGTTGTAAGCCTCGTGTTAGGTCTGTTTAATCACAAGGAATTCTTTAATATTCCGCATTCAGTGATGACCTTTGTGTGGGTATCATCAGATATTAAATGACATTTTCAAGCTGGCCTGCAGCTCGTAAAAGTCTAATTTGGTCCTTCGCTTCTGTGACATTTTTTTGGCTGCAGGAGAAGTTTGCAAGTGCCAGTCAAAATCCTGGCTCACATTTGCAGCATCATTAGCCCACATATATACTGTGTTATTTATATTTCATCCCTTCACATGTCTCAAAAAGTTTCTGGAGATGAACTCCCGCTGCTGCCAAATTACTCCACTAGTAGTTTTCACTCCATCTGTGTCCAGACAGCAAATCTATGTATTTTTTTATTATTTATTTCATCCTTGCTGCTTTTGACATCACTCCACCTTTGCTGTCATTGTGTCAGTTTGAAGAACTAGCATACCTGTGGATGGAGAGCCAGAAGTTGGGGGGTAACTATAGTCGACATCGGGCGCAGACAGAGAAGCACGTGGTGTTGTGTGTCAGCTCGCTGAAGATAGACCTGCTGATGGATTTCCTCAACGAGTTCTACGCTCATCCCAGATTACAGGTACAATGAAAAGACCAAATGATATGTTAATATGCTGCTATTTTTGCTTATTTCCACTGTTTCCACTATATCTTCTATATTTCTATTGCATGCTTTAATCATGAGACATGAGACTGGTTGTGTAATTAGCTAAGTCAGTAGTACACAGTGACTATTCAATATAAAATAAGGCAAAACCTTTCAACTTGCCAGCCTAAGAATCAGCTGATTTTTCGCTCAGCCCGTCGAAGGACAGATGAACTGTATGTATTGTTTTCATAAGTCAGAGGAATCACTACTCCTCCTGCAGTATTTGGTAGATTTTAGTGAAACCTCCGTGCAATGATGTCCTAATAGGTCGTCACCTAAACTGTGCTCAAGGTCATATTTGTCATTCTCAGTGGATTTTAATTGTTATTAATTGGTCCAGTACAGCTGACCAATGACAAGAAAACTTCACTGTCACTGTACTTCACACATACAGCACAACACAGTAACACAATAAGCTGATTTTCACTTTGATGAATATTGAGCTGGATAAGCTACCACGCCACTAAGGTACTGGTTTATATTATAACTTTTTATATTATAATATTTTTGTACTTTAGTGGACGTTTTACTGTGAAAAAGTTGCAGCTTTTTTGTTTTATATCATTTTTTTTCCCTCAACATTTGGTATCAAGGAAAAAAGAGCACTTTGCCTGTGGATCTTGACATTGGAATGGGTGTAAAGTTGATTTGGTTGCAGTTGTCAGAGCTAAAATGTGTTCATCAGTCATGAAAAATGTATGTTACTTTCTCCTGTACTAATGAATTTATGAGGGTTTAAAAATGCTGGGAAAAAAAAATCAAAGGTCAGCTCATGTCTGTGTACTTCAAGGGGCTGTAACGCTTTGTAGGATGAAAGTAAATGTTTTGCATGGCTTTATTATATATACACTTTGGACTGACTGACTCACTTTTCATAGATTTATCCAGGGTTTTTGTATTTCATGTTTCTTTTTGGGGTTTTTTGTAGATTTTAATTTTCTTGTTTTTTTCTCTCTTTCTCTAGGACTATTATGTGGTGATTTTGTGCCCGACAGAGATAGACATTCAAGTTCGTCGAATTCTCCAGATCCCCCTGTGGTCCCAGAGGGTTATCTACTTGCAAGGATCTGCTCTCAAAGACCAGGACCTGATGAGGGCCAAGTGAGTAAACGCATAACATGCACATATTAAGACCAACACCTTACAACAAAGCTCTTTGTGTTATCTTTCTGAAAGGTTCAGATTTCAGTAGAGCTGAATCTGATTAGTTTTGTTCTTTTTATTTTCTGGATACGACTTGGAATGTAATTTAAAGTGTTGCTTCTCAACTGGCAATGCAAAGCCATTGAAGTGCAGTTAGAGGGTGAGACACTTACAAATCAGCTTGGCTGGCCTCTGCTTTCACTTCAGTGTAATGCAGTTTTACTCCACATCGATCATCTCCTCACTTCAAAGAGCAAACTCTGCACAGAAGCAGCGAGAGAGATTGTGACCTGTCAGTTTTGTTTTCGTCAATCGAACCCATTACTGCACAACCGCAGCATTCGTAGCTCGTAGCTCGGCTGCAGATGTTGAATTACAGCCCTATATCCTTTTCTTTGAAAAGTCTTAAGTTTGTCCAGAAGTTCACTCCTCTTTTCCAAGATGCCCTCTTTAATGTGCAGCTGTTCAGGTGCTGTGTCATTTCATACGCACCGATATGTGACCACACAGCCAGGTTACCTTCAAATGACTAACCTCTGTCGAGAACATGCAGAGGGTTGGTGTGACAGAAGAGGATGTTAGGAAGGGTGAGGTGGAAGCACTGCATTCTGATACAGTAGTGTTTTCAGAGATGAATTGGGCTTTTAACCTTTTGAGCCTTTGCAATGGCATATTAACACTCATCTATGCCTGGCTTTAATTTAATGCACTGATCTGTTAAAATGAGGCGTTTCACACCTGGTTGAATGACCTCTTTCCTGCCTTTCTATCTCTCTTTTGTGTGTCTCTTCCAATCTGTCAGGATGGACGATGCTGAGGCCTGCTTCATCCTGAGCAGCAGGAACGAAGTCGACCGAACTGCAGCTGTGAGTCTCATCCTAAACCGTGTCATCATAATGATTATTTCAAATAAGCAGTTTCCCTTTACACCCTACTTCCCTTTGATATTTGCCAGGGAAGTTGTAGATGAAAATGAGCCACTGGACAAGTGAAATAACACAATTTTGCTCCCTCACAGGATCACCAGACTATTTTGAGGGCATGGGCTGCAAAAGACTTTGCTCCAAACTGCCCTCTCTACGTACAGATTCTCAAACCAGAAAATAAATTTCATGTTAAGTTTGCTGGTGAGTGTGCAAAGAATTCATAGCTTCTGAAAAACAGTAATTTGGCATGTTGTTGAGACACAGGCCAGACTTTTTCTTAATATAAAAGGTTTTTGCAATTATTCCTTTTCAATCAGATCATGTAGTTTGTGAAGAGGAGTTCAAGTACGCTATGTTGGCACTCAACTGTGTGTGTCCAGCCACGTCCACTTTAATTACGCTGTTGGTTCACACCTCCAGAGGACAGTGAGTATCCACCAACATTTATTTGCAGTTATTATTCTTTCCCCTTTTCTTTTTTTTTTTTTTTTTTAATTTTTTAAAAATACATTTAATTTACTTATTAGTGCAGCACAATGATGCAGTGGTTAGCACTGCTGCCTGATTATTTTGGGGAAAAGCAATATTTTAGCTTACCTGGTATTAGACTAGATTTTCCAGTCCTGCTAACAGGAGGACGTTTTTGGTTCCTTTGGATAAAGTCTAATTTCAACACCTGCTTCTTTTCATTTTCCTACACTAAACCAACCATATTTGGTATTTTTCCAGTAAGTATGTGTTACTGTAAGACAAATTACCCAGATAAAGTAACAATTATTTTGGCAGTTAAACTAAGGCTATGTCCACACGTACCCGGGTATTTTTGAAAACGCAGATTTTTCTATGCGTGTGCACCTTTCGTCCACACGTAAACGGCGTTTTTGGGCACTGAAAACTGAGATTTTTAAAATCTCCAGCCAGGGTGGATATTTTTGAAAACTCCGTTTTTGCATTTACGTGTGGACGAGAAAAACGCAGAAAACGCAGCGTCAAAGGTGTGCGCATTTTTTGACGTCACACTGTGCGCCACGTTATTGTTTTGGTGAAATGAATTTCTACAATACT